AGTTATAATAACTCCTTAAAAATTACGGTGTGGAAAATCGCCATATTGTACACTGTCTTTTTCGTTTCAAATTGACATTTCGGTCAAGATTAGTGTTGGGCTGTTGCGAAACTTGTGCGGAAACGTCGACGAAAAGTTCGTGGGTGATTAACACACACATACAAACACACACATAGACAAAGTGGAGCTGAAAACGCTTTATTTCAGTTTTTACTGACTATTACAAAATCGTTTTCTCCGTTCTATCTCTAGGAAACGACTAACTGTTTCACGCGCTGTTAGTCAGTCCAATATGCGACTTATCAAGCCCACATTTTCACAGAAATCGGCTCAGCTCTACATTAAAAACCCCGAGGGAGAACTCTGTCTTATTATTATGAAAACAATTAATAACTTAAGAAGGATTAATTGAAACACGCGACTAATAAATGGTCGCAATAAATCCAGGCACGTTTCTGTCAAAGACACAAGAAATCAATTTTATGACCTATAAATAATTGCAAAAAAACGAAATACTCAGCGATTTTAAAGCAATCTATTAAGGACCGGTCATTATTTATCGCCTGGGAGATGGTGGAGGATTTGGGTGAGATTTATCCGATCCCCTCTTTGAATGTTACTTCACGGAAGTGATCCCCCCTAATAACATTTGGTGACTTTCGCGATAGCCGCCATGTCTTTATTTTCCGAGCAAATTTGAGTGGTCCCCCTCTCTCATTCTTTGTCAATAATTTGCGATCCTATTACAATAGATACACCGTGCTTGGCGTTGATTGGCCTTTTGCGTCTCTCCTCCTCAGAGGCCTCTTGTGTCATAGGGAGGCTGAGGAGTAAGAAAAGGGAAGCGCGCAAGGCACGCTGGAAAAGGGGAAGAAAGAAGAAAGGCGTCTTTTCCCTCTCCCCATCGTCCCCCGCGCGCTTGGTATATTTCGATTATTGCTATTTTTATTGGGATACCCAGCGGGAGCCTCTGCAGAGGAGAGCGACCTTTTGCTTCCTTTTAACCCAAGAAGAAGTAGAAACACCATCGCCGTCCTCATTTTCTTGATTAATTCCATAGGTTTATCCAAACTGTAATTGTTGGTCAACAGGGCGATCAGTTGCCATTTCCTTTTTTATCGTTTAAGCCTAATACTAACAGATTCAGCTAGAGCTAAAAGCGAAGCTCCCGTTTATACATTCTACATTTACTTCAGACAATGAACTTAAAACCTTTGCAAAGAAATCCTCAAATCTATACTTAACTTTAGGAGAGAATCATATGAGTGAAAAACATAAAATTGAGCCTTCGATAAATTTAAACCTAACAACTGGTCAGGGGAAAACTTCAAAAACAACACGTGACCTTCATGAGTTGGCACCAGAGCCCGCGATACCGTTATGTGACTCTGTTCATTGGATACCCTGTTTTAAAGGCTGTTAATTAACCATAATATGGATGTCTATTATCAAGTTAAACACAGGTTTCAGGCTCCCGCACTAGCTAGAAAGTTTGACATTTCACATTGGTTTCCCTGTGGTGAAGACGGACGGGCGTACGGTCACGTGATTACCAAAATTTCATGGATGGATAGATTACTAAATTTTGTTTAGCCTGCGTAGCAAGCGTTTCATTTCTTGGCTCTTGTTTCATTTCTCGCGCGGCCAAAACCGAGAATCCCATTCCTCGGTCTTTCTTTGCTCCGAAACCAAACGGAAACGCTTGCTACGCAGGCTAAATTTTGTTAGGCGTGGAGCTCCGCTCGCGCGGACTTCGCGCCCGCTTGAAGTCCCGCTATTAGGCCATTTCAGTTATGGGATCCTGCTCTAGATGAATCTATGTATTAGAC